TTTTCAATAAATATTAATGTTAGCCCGCGACTTTGTTCCAGTTTTGAATTTTGGCCCACTGTGTATTTGAGTTTGACACCCCTGCTTTAGAGTGAAGCAGGGGATAATGTGTAAAGGTAAACGCAATGTGGGAATTATAAGACTTTTTTTAAAAGAAATCTTACTTTTAAAAAAAGAGTTGTTTGTGAAGTTGATAGTTTTTGAAAAGGTGTGCAATTTTTTTTTAAAATTTAAGTTAATTGTCTTTTGTAGTTATTGACAGATTAAAAAACAAACAAAAACTATTATCTATATCTATTAAAGCAATGACAAAAGTCATGATGTGATCATGATCACAAAAGTGATGGACAATAGAAAGAAGTAACCGATTCAACGGTGTACCAGACATGAAGTAAACAGCACATTTTGATGGTCTGAATTAAATGAAAAGTAGTAAATCGTAAATATATCACTATTGTTCTGTGTAGGAAAAGTTAAGCAACCTTGTCTTACAGGCACTGTACTTCCCCAAGGGGTCAACAGTTTATTCTTCGGATTTAAACTTCCAGACTGGTAAGTGGAGACGTCTAGCCTCAAAGATTAATACTGTGTCATAACAGTTTCCTTTTGCATAGTTATGACATTATTTTAATACAATCTCCACTGTTTTTATTTTATTTTTTTTATTTTTTTGCTACAGTGACATGCCTTCATCCTTCCAGGGGAAAAATGGAAGAATTTCCTACATCATGGAAGCAAAGATAGCTAGGAGCTGGCATTGGTCCTCTGATGCACAAAAAGAGATCAAGTTTATGTCCAGGTCCAGTCCACACACTGTCCAAATGATGGTAAACACTGCCTTGATATATGTTATAAATATTTAGAGCATGTGTTGTAAATGCTAAATGAAAAATATATAAGACAAAATCTTAATATGATTTAAAAACCTGAATGTCCTGTTACAGTTTCACATGTTTTATTAGGAGTCGCCAGTTGTAACACAGGGAGTTCTGTGTTTATGATGTTTACCAGGATCTGGTCTTAAGTTTACAAAAAAAAGGAAGTAGATTCTTCTGCAATTTGGTCATTTGAGGAATTAAGTTGCCCTGGGGAAATCTTTATCTGCATGTTCTATTACAGCATCCGCAATCTGGTTCAGTGAGTAAAAACATGGGTGGTCGCTCCAGGGGACAGGTCCAGATGTCTGCCACTATTAACAGAGGTGTTTGTTCTCCAGGTAAAATATCTGCAACATGAAAAGACAAATGCTGATAGATTTTTAAAAAAAAATGCAGTTTATTGCTATGATTTGTTTTTGACAGGAGAAACTTTATCTGTTGTTGCCAAAATATGCAACTCCTCTTCCAAGGAAATGAGACCCAAATTCAAACTTCAACAGAAAATAGTGTACAGCTGCAAGAAACATACTAATCCCACCTTCAAGACTCTGTGCAAAATGGTTGGGGACACTATCAGTCCAAACTCAGAGCAAACTGTGTCCTGCAAAATTAAGATTCCTGGTGACATTGCCCCCACTCTCCATAACTGTGATATTATCTCAGTTAAATATTATGTCAAGGTATGAAACAATTTCATAGTGATATCATGGTATCTTAGCAATGAAACTCCTTCATTTGTAAACTATCATGGGTAAATAAGCAACAGGAAATATGTGTCTTAACTCAGTATCTTTATAACTATATAACGGATAACAATCTTTATTTAATTTTTTTTTCCATTTCTGACTGTTTCCCAGGTGTATCTGGACATTAGTTTTGCCTTTGACCCAGAAGTGACATTTCCACTGGTTGTCCTTCCTTCCAGACTTGCTCCCATATGGCCCGATGAGGCTTTAGGACAATCTGTGGGGGAGGGTGGGGCAGCCAAGGCCACCAGTTACAAGGTACATGTTGTACCTACAGCATCAGATGCTTGCCAATACCCCATCCCCGATCCCCCTCTGGATGATGACATAAAAGAAGGCAATTATAACCAGTTGCCTCAAGGTGCTACTTCACTGGGGTTCTCAGCTCCAGCTTTCTCAGTGGATTCAATGCAGCAACCAGCTATTCTGCAGGGAGAACCATCTCCATTATTTACTTCCATTTACAAGCATTAGATTGAGTGATTGTGGAAGTTGAACTGGATTAAGTGAATAGGCTGAAGATTAACAATAAGGGCCAGGTACCTGTTAAACAGGGTAGTGAAAGTTCTGAAAATCAGAAGTGAGATACAAAAGCATGTGTGTGGCTTAGGTGGGTGTTGAAACAAGAGCACAAAGCAACTCTTTGGTTTCATTCTATAATACCAGGCTTATTTTTCTACGAAGATTTGAACTTTGAGGGTGTTTAAACAGGGGAGAAAAGTGTGAAGATGTTCATGCCTGTCTGAGAAAAGTGTATAAAGTGTGTGGTGAGGGATTTTACAGCCTTAAAACATCTATAAAAATAAAGTTTGCTACTTTTCGATTTCACTTATTATTTAGTTATTTTTAGAATGTAACTCTCACGATAAACAAGGGAACACTGTAGAGCTAAGTTGCAGTCGTCAGTCACCTCTAATAAAGCATATGTATAAGTATTATAATTTTATTATTATATTTTCTTCTTTCACAAATTTATCCCAAGGGTTTTATACTTTTCTTTCTTTCTTTTTTAAATAACTTTTTTAGTCATATTTTTAATCATCATTGTAATCTTTGCTTATTTTTTAATCATGTTATTTATCTATTTTTTATTTTGAAACTCAATTTTTGTAAACCTGATTTTATCTTAAAATGTTCAATTCTATACAGAGACAAGTGAAGTAGTATCAGAACAGCAGGAGGTGATCATACATTTTGAAAGAATAATTAAGCCTAGACTAGATATAGTCGGCAAGTGGCAAAAGGCCACTTGACAGCAACTTGGGTAGTCTCAGAATCTCGTCTCTGTATTTCACAGATGATGTGGTTCTGTTTATCAAGTGGTGGCCCCCAGCTCACAAGGTGGTTCGCAGCCGTTCCAGTGTGAGAATTAGAACTTCTGAGTCTGAGGCCATGATCCTTAGCTGAAGGTAGAGGGGAGAGGGAAGAGGGAGGGGAGAGATCAAAGAGAAGAGAAAGAAGAGAAAGAAAAAGCAGAACGTAAAAGCGAGGCTCTAGATTTACTGGCCGATTTATATCTCACCTATGGTCATGACCTTTATGTTTCTTAACTTTTTTAGTCATATTTTTAATCATCATTGTAATCTTTGCTTATTTTTTAATCATGTTATTTATCTACTTTTTATTTTGAAACTCAATTTTTGTAAGACATACAAAGACATGGTGGTATGATTTCAGAACCAGCCAAATACATATACCTATACCATCTGTTATTTTGAAATAAATAAATGAATAAAAGTTCAACCACACTACCTGCTGCAGCTTCTTTTTGATGATGTGTTGCTCTCTCTTCCTCTAAGATCATTATGTAAAGTCAAACCATTACTGACATATTTTGGGCAGTGAAAACATATTCTGTACTAGGTCCCAAGAGACAGCCTGAAGTTTTAAACAAACAAAAACATAAATAATCCTTAATCCATCGGAATCATGAAAATGAATCTTAAACGTTGCTGAAATACTGTTAAATTTTAACTCTACTTCTTAACAGCAAACTGTTGAAGACATAATTGGTTAGTTCCACAGGAATCTGTGCGCGGACCAATTCTATTTATCTTACACATACTTTCCTTAGGCAGTATCATGAAAAGTAGTTATCATGTAAAGTAGAGTGAAGTACATGAAAAGTGACACTTTTTTTATCTTCTAGTATAAAGCATGGGACAGTTTAAGAAAACTAAAAAATCATTCATATTTTTTTACATTTTTATAAAATAGCAAAGCTTTCATTTAAATTTACAGAAGCATAAAGTATAATTCCCACTGACATTTATTATGTCAGTGGGGTGATCATGGCTCAAGAGTTGGCAGTTCATTTTGTAATCGGAAGGCTCCCGGTTCGAGCCCTGGCTCCGACAGGGCCCAGTGGTGCCAGTGTCCGGCAGCCTCGACTCTGTCAGTGAGCCCCAGGGCAGCTGTGGCTACAATGTAGCTTGCCATCACCAGTGTGTGAATGGGTAGATGACTGAATGTAGTGTAAAGTGCTTTGGGGTCCTTAGGGACAAAGTAAAGCGCTATACAAATACAGGCCATTTACCATTTATTAGAGCTGAATTATAATGTGATGAAAATAAGACAGCAAGTTACTTTTCACCACTTATATATACAAAACATTTCGTTTGTATTGCATACCATTTCCGAAAGCAAATCCTCAAATAAAGCACTCAAAAACGATGCTTTTATGTACTTCATGGTACATATTGTCATTGTAGGGCATTAATACTTGGTAAGTTTTTTAACACTAGAGTTATATGACCTGTTTTCATACATAAATGTCAGACAACGGTGCAAATATGTGTCATTTCAAATTCTTTCTTACATGTAGCACGGTTCACTTAACCATGATGTGATTAAGTGGTTGTGACTTTTGCCTTGTTTTCAGATCAAATAGGTCTGCAGGTGTCAATAAACCACAAAGCAGCTGCAGTTCTTGCATTATGTCAGAACTATGAAAGCTGCATTGGTTAAAGGTTGTCAAATTAATATAACAGTAGTAATGACAAATAAATATGTGTCCAGAGGCCTCTGAACTCAGATGTCAGAACCTTTTGAGTTAGCGTTTTTCAGAAAAAAACAAAACAAGGAAATACAAGATCTGTCTGGGTTCTTGGCAAGGTGGAGCCATGTTAGTATCACAAGCACAGTTATTGTGCTTGCGATACTTATTATTTTAGTTAAAAAAAAACCCACATATGTATGGCTTAAGCTGAGCATACACTGTGCGATTTTTTTCAGTCGCGCGATTCAGCTCCTGCTCAAACTGTATGATTGACTCGCAGGGGTTAGAAGTTCGTAGGTCACGATGCAGGGTCTCACACTATACGGCCCAATGCTCTGATGCAACCTGAGTGCTCACACTGTGAGTCCATAAAATGAAGGTTATAACAGAAAATCTGTCGCTCGCTCTCCCTCTCTGTCTTTCACTCACACAGACACGCACACCACCACCATCAACTTTGCTAAATTGCTAATGAAAAACATTGAACAGTGATTGAGCAGCAATGTAAATCCAACTATTTTCAAGGTTGTTGTGGTCGTGATAATTTTGTGAGGCCACATCGAAAAGGCTCGGATGAGCTTTCCAAAGTTCTACAGGTTATTCCTCCATCGCTTGTGTCCAGATCACACACTGCACTGCTGTGCTACTCCGTTTTTTTCACTGACGTTTATGTTTTTGCGCGTGCCCAGTGTGAGCGGCTGCAGCGACACCCTCATGACGGTCGTGAGGATTTCAAACAGGTTTGAGCAAGCGATTGATGATCGGGAGCTGGTCGTGAGGTGTTAATCGCTTCTCGTTACCCCACGTATACTACACGATGCACGATGCACGATGAAGGCCAAACTCGGGCCGATCACCAAAACGGTCGCACGACTCAAAAATCGGCTCAAAATGGGCCAAAAATCACACAGTGTAAGCCCAGCATTATTTAGTATTGTAGCGGGTCAGGGCTCTTCGGGGTTTTGTTTTTACAGTTATGTTGCCATGGTTACAGGTGATGCGCTCTCTCTGCGACTGTGTGTTTCCGGGTGGGAGAGTGCTTTTTTTTGTTATTGTTGTTGCGCTAGAGCTACGCAGAGCGGTGGTGTTAGTGTGTGTGCTCGTCTGCCGAATGATAATAAACGGCGGTGCTCCGTGGCTAGCTGACGGAAAGCAAGACCAAACAAGACCTTGTCTGAGCTCGCCACATTGGTGTCAGAAGTGGGATCACTCACCCTCGCCGTAATGGTGAGAGACATTCGGAGGCTGGAGCAAGCCGTCGAGGAGAGCATTCGCTGCTTGGGAAGCTGGCGATTGAAGAGAGAGGAGGCGAGCGGCCATGTAAGTCACCCGACGAGTCCCGACGGCGCGAGCGCAACACGGCGGCGGCCCATTTCAACAGACGCTAGGGCAATGCTTCATCGGCTGCCTCTGTCGACCAACTTACCGAGCCCCCAACAGCAAGCAGTTATGCCTACAACGCCAGCTAAGGTACCGAATTACAACGGGCTAACCCCGCTAGAGCCCTACCTCTCACAAGTCTGGCTAGCCGCAAGGCATAGTGGCTGGAGGGACGAAGAGGCTGCTACACACCTAGCGCTAGCATTGGAAGGAGATGCACTGCAGATACTCCTTGACCTAGTCCCGGCAGAGCAGCATGAGCTCCAGGCCCTCACCGCGGCACTCGAGAGGCGATTCGGGCAGCGGCACTCCACTGATCAGAGCAGAGAGCAGCTGACCAACTGGAGCCATCGGCCGGGGAGAGCCTGGGTACCTTTGCAGCAGATGTGTTGCTGTATGCTCGTTGTGGCTACCCGGAGTTCCCAGCAACAGCCCGTGAGGAGCTTGGCCTGCATGCTTTTCTGCGAGGACTTTTTCCAGAGCGACTACGTCCGCCTGGCCATGCCTCAAACTCTCCGCGAGGCCCTCCGTGAGGCTGAAAGGGCCGAGCTTGTGCTCACCTCGCGACCTAACCAGCACTTGCCCGCCCCCAAACTACCCTCAAATCAGAGCCGCAGAATGCGATGGGGAGGGGGAGGTCGCGGAAATATGCCAGCTGCAGCCCTCGGTGCCCCGGAGGCATCCTCGTTGTCCGACCAACCGCTGCTACTGGTGCGATGAGCCCGGCCACATGGTGCGTGACTGCCCAGCACCCGCCCCAAAGACAAGAATTACGCAGCCTCAGGGAAACGGGGTGGGAGCGGTGTAGCGAGGGGACCACCACTCCAGCTTCCTGCCCCCCTCCAAGGACGATGCACGGTAGTGGGTCGAGTCGGGCACCTCAAGGGACTCTACCTGAGCTGCTGTGTTGAGGACCAGCCATGCCGTGCCCTGGTGGACACGGGGTCTACCATTTCCCTAATACAACCTGGTGTGCTCCCTGGAACGTCCGGGCCACTTGTAAAGGGTTGGTCACCCACCGACACCCAGCTGATGACAGTGACGGGGGAGAGAACTGACATGCAGGGGAAGAAACCGTTGCGGATCCGAGTGAAGGATCTGGAGCTGGTGCACGACTTCTGGCTTGCTGACATTCAAGACCAGTGCATCATCGGCCTTGATCTGCTGACCCGCTGGGGGGCCTGCATTGACACCACAAAGCTGGCTATCACTCTTGGCACAGAGACTCTTGCCCTTCAGTGCGGTCAAAAGCAGGGAGCGGAGGGGACCAGAGACAGACAAGACAGGCATCAGGCAGCTGCCGCTCAGCAGATTTCGGGTGCCAGTGGCTCTGGGTCATCTCTACTCACCTCATCCCCAGCCTCTCAGCCCGACAAATCTCCCTCGACCGAGAAGACCGAGGCTGTTGATGACCTGTGGCAGTGCAGCAGCATTAACCAGAGCCAGCGGTTGAGGGGCCTCCTGGATGAGAATGTGGACATCTTTGCCAACAGTGACAAAGACTGCAGGCAGACGGGGCTGGTCCAGCACACCA